GACGTTTCTCGGTCAGAGATCAGTTGAAGAGACGTTGTGATTGGTTTAGATGATTGTCAATTAGAACATCATTAACATAATTACCCGTTGAAAAATCGACGGGTTCCTGCAGTGTCGATAGAGGGCCATGCAGAATAAATCAGTCCGGGGGTGATTTCACAGTTACAGGGGATTTCGAGCTAACACCTCCATTTCGCGATTTTTTTGTATTTTATTTGAACTACAAAAACAAATTAATCGCCCCGACTGCGCCAGTCTACCGCCGGACTAGCACGTACTGTTTTACAAAGTACACAGTAAGGTCGACCTCGTTAAACTACCACCGAATCATTATCCCACAGTACCGTGTTTAATAGCGCAATTTGATCAGAAATGTTGCATTTAAAAAAAGATAACTCGGCGATCTTATGTGTCATCATTCTGCTAATTTATTGCTAAGCATAAGACGTCACATTTTAATTGTATTGAATTATAAAAATAAACACACCAGAAACCAATGTATCATACTAATAAGTCTCGCTATTGCCGGTGTCGTTTGTACACCAAACTTACAGACTTCAGGAGAAGCAGGGGGGATTTACATACAAAAAATGCTCGGTTGTGTAACACTGTAAATAAGATGTGCGTCTATATGCCTACATCTATTTTCTTGTAACCGATTTTGTTGTCTTATATATAATTTACCCATTTTCAGAAGTATTGTTGAATTCTAAAAAGTTGGGTTTGATACCTCCAAAACTTTATTCAACAAAAATCTCTACCTACCTGGTTGCGCAACAAAATATAATGCATTAACCATATTGATTAGCACAGTCTAAAACTGTAGTGTGCATTTACAATGAGTGGTCCACGATAAAATTTACGTAATTCATATAAATTCCTTTTTAGTTGGCGACTGAGTAGTTGCGTCTTCCGTAAAGGTGTCGATAATTGGGTTGATTCTTATTAATTATGTCCCGAGTTAATACTCAGACGTGAAGTAATTAAACATCACCTATCCCACCCGCACTACTCACTTGTTCGGCAAAGTGGTTTCGTCCACAAAAAATTACACGATACGGTTGATTATCTTTACGCGCGAAAACAGTTGTCGTCTGCGAGATGAACGGATAATAAAATTGATCCAATATTGGCGTTCCAGACTAAAGTGAGTGAATTGCACGGAAACTTCCACCCAACGTGACGGGTGTCGCGGTAGAAGCAACACCAATATAAATTCTGTAATTTTGTTCGTGCTTTCTGCCATCAATTGTCAGTGACCCTGGACACGATTATACAAACCAATTTTATCAAAAACCATATTCCATTCATTTGCACGGCACTAGCACAAACAAATGGCAATATTTTTGTACTGAACAACCATAACCTGACATCAAGTCATTTTTTATTTCGTTCAGTGTGTAGTAACAGTGGTGTTGTCGGCGAATGTTTGGCACCATCAGTAATTTTGATTGCCGCCAGTGCTACACTCTGGGACTACACTATGAATAGTATGACTATAACTAAAGTAATCCACTAACACGCAGCGTTGAAAGCAGATAATGTCACCTTGAAGTTGGCTTTCCATAAGACCTTTATGAAGTGTTTCGATACATACCTTTCACTAACATCACTGTCACCGCCAATAATACCCATATCCGCTGCGAAAACACTGCCAAACAGTTCATTGTGCCTTTCACCCGCTGGTATTGACTAGCTATCAGAGGCTGAACAAAAATACGACTACGACGAGCCCACTGCTCCGCTGTCGCGGATACTTTGCCGATATTATCATGGGAAGCTATACGTCTCGTATCTCGTTACAATTGGAATCTTGAGTGACCTGATCAGGTGGCTAAAATGTCAGCAACGCAGAGGCAGTATAACCGTCAGCATACGCACACGCCCAATGCACAGATGACAACAGTATATCAACCTGTCCGCAACACAGACCTCGATTGAGTCAGAGGGTTAGTGGGTAACACGTGACTAGCACGCGTCCGTTTTCAAGCTAGGGGAATCTGAATAGAGTCGAATAAATACTTGAATAAAATAATGAATAAATAAATGAATCAATCAATTAAATAAGTCAATGAATGAATAATTTTTAATATTTAAATGTTACGCATTTAAATATTTAATTACCAAGAAGCAATATTACAATCCGTAATTGCCGTACTCCAAACGTCTCGTTATGACATTCAAGTACATCACTGTGAAAAAACAAAACCATGGTAGAAACGATTACGTCACAGGTGGAATTAATGATATTCGATCAGAAACGTGAGTTATGGTTATGACAAATTCAATTATAGCAACCAGTTATTTGGCATTCATGAACCCGATTCCTAAAAAAAAACACATTATTGAAATGTGACATTGTTGCCAAAGCGGAGTTTAAGTGGAGTCGCTGTATCTAGGGAATAAAATACAACACACACCTTCCATTAATGTGTAATAACAGGGATAGTACGGGGACGTGTGCAATAATGGGTGAGACGTAGTCCGGAGAGACAAACTTTGTTATCACGCAATAAGGGGTAATTATAATGCCATGGACTGCCGGAAAATGAATATACGTGCAGTGGCAGCTTGAGCAGAAAATAAAATGCGGTTAGCCCGTCGGGACACTTTTTTGAGTTATGCGAAGAATTTCACGAAGCTTACACAATTGGTAACTTTTAGATGAAATGACCATGATTTCTTAACCTTAATAAATAACCCTGGTTTGTTGTTTAAACTAACCATACAAATATGGGAAAATTTTAAATTCTTACAGTAGCACATAAACACAATCTTGTTCGTACGTTCGTGCATTGACCTCAAGAACTGTCCTGTTATCGTCCGGTAATAGAGCTGCACGTGGTATCGATCGACCAATAAGACTGCAGAATTTCGATAACGGGCAGCGCATAATGCATAACGACAATATACTCAGAAAATACAATCTCAAAGAGCAACATGGAAAAAAATAGTTGTTTCCTTATAAAAGATATTAGGTTTAGATCAATACGCATAATTTCACTGGAATGGCCACGTTTTCCTGGTGTCAAAAACCGTTTTACGCTTGCTTGATAAGGTTAGTGTTTTAGATATCAGCAATGTATTCAGCCGCCACTCAGCACAGGCTGTATCACTTAACTTACCATACACGAGATATATCAACCATACGCCACTCAGTGTCAATTAGAATTTCTACGACGATAATATGTTCATCCAAAAAGTCATATCGGATTATACAGAAACTGAGAATGCAGGACAAAAGTCTAATGATTCAATCCTCTTATTTGCCCTAAGTCAGACATACGAACACGAGAATAGTAACCACGAGAGAGCACATAATTGTTCATTCTACGAGATTTCGTTGATTAGCTAAAATCTTAAACTCTTAGTTATGCATAAGATGTTCATATCAATCTAGTTCTAGCTGACATTCACATGCTACCAATATCTTAAACCCGTATTATTTCCAATTAATAACCAGATGGAAATTTATCCATGGTACGTACCCGGGGAAGATTCACAACGATTACCAAGTGATATTATTAAAGTTATTTTCATAGACGAATCTAGACACTATTAAAAAATATTCACAGCAGGTGACTAGTTTTTAAAATAGAATCTTCGCTGGATACATCACTAAGAACACACTAAAGTAAATAACCTGCAGTCTTGATGAAGGGTTCGCAGGGGTCAGTCTATTTGTTTACTGTACCATGAAGAATATATGAAACAATTTAGACGCAGCGACTGTGTGTATGAGTGAGTGAGTGCTGCTGGGTGGCTATTCCTCTCTACCAGCTGCCATTTAAACTAGCATTGCAAGGAATTTTCAGTTAGGCCTAGATACAAGCACCGTGACCAAATGAGCAACATTATGTTTATTTGTTAAAGGAATGGTGAACAATAATTTTATAATGTACAATTATGTAATTGCAAAATGCAACATGAGATAAATAAGTAAATAAGTAACTGTATTCTTCGAATTCTCGGTTGGAATTTTCATTTTGTCTGGCGATGTTTTTGTTTCCACCCGTTGCGTTATTTAATTAGATACCAATTTGTCGTCTTTGATAGTTCATAGCATCTGTTACGCAAACTTCGCATTGTTTGTTTTTTCAACGCTGTGTCTTTCGAAGCTATGTTCTGCTACTGGGAAACTACACTCACTATATTTATATTGCTTTACTACATTTATAATGTTTTTACTACCGAGGCATTTCAATTCTCATAACCATCTTCCCGTGTTCATTCTTTTCTATCTTCACATTGTTTTCCCACCTTTGAATTCTGTTTTGTTGCCTTTAAATTTGGCTTTTGCGACCTTTGAATAATCTTTTTCAACTGTCTTTGCAGTGAGTGTAAATACCTATACACATACCTTCATATTGTCCTTGTTCCTGAATTGACTTGAAATGCCTATACATTTCCATTGCTTTGCTACTTTTCTATTATTTTCTCACGTTTACATCGTCTTTGCAATCTTTACATTGTATTTGCTTCCTTTTCATTGCTCTTCTACATTCACATTACTTTACTATTTGTTCTTTAATTTACTATTTTCACGATGTTTTTGCTACCTTTGCTTTTCTCTTTCATCCTTTCCATGGAGGTAAAATAAAAGCCCTTCCATAGTTGTGCTACTTTATTCTGTCTTTCCTACATTTTAATTAAATCTAACTTTTTCTATCCGTATAATAAAACTTCCATAATATGCCACTACATAATGTCTTCCAGGCACCTGCTATATATTTGCAAGTGCCCGGTTATGGTTTAGTGATTCCAGTCTAAACAATTACAGTAATGAACAACAGCGCATATCAAGCATTTATTCACATACAAGCATAACCCATTACCATGTGGAGTGTACACGAAGATAATGTGACTATTTGACATGTCGTCGAATTATATCGTGAATCTGTCGAAAGATATGAATCGCTTTTTTATTTTACGTGTAATTATATTTTTTTATCTAAATTGACATTGCTCTGTCCAAAACAAATTACTTGTTCGTCAAATGTTTGTTTTTTTCATTCTAATATGATAATTGTTCAACGTTAAACTCACTACATGAGAATGCTCACGCAATCTACGTCTACCGTTGATTTTAGTTTTGATGTTTATTAGAACCACACGTCATATTCAAATTAATGCATTATAATAGTATTCGCTGACCTATCTTCAGCCTTGCCACACAAGATTGTATATTTAAACATTTTTTTTTGTTATATTTGACATACTTATTACTAATCCCATCTCAAAAACAGTATTATAGAATGTTGGGGAACCCGTTTACCAGCTATTATAAACATTATCTATTAATACGAATTAATTGAAATTAATTCAATGTCTTAATTGTCAGATATCTCGGACTTGTTGACATTTCTGTTTATGAAATTATGTTCATTTTCTTGACTAGTGTTCCATTAACTGGAGACACCCAGTCGTGAACCTGCATCGATTACTTAGATAAACTGCACACACAAGAGCTTTGCAATGATACTAAATCCTTAATTGATTTTTCTCAATTGATAGGAAGTCTTGAATATTACGATTACTCGTTGATTGTAATGTGTAATTAGGATTTCCTATATCACTTATCAAAGTAGAAATAATAACATATCTGTAAATTAACTATTAGAGCAAGGTATACACGAGAAATTCCAGAAAATAAATAAATTCTGCGCATTTGAGATCGAGTCATTGTTTGCTCAAGAGATTGAATTTCCCACTTTGTATTATAACGTAGAATACCTTCCACTTATTATT